ATTTCAGCTATAGTTCTGCGCAAATGGCATTCACACTTGCATTTTCGTAGGAAATGCAACTTCTCTAATTACAAATAACTTCATTTCTGGACATTTATGGTTTGATTTCTTTGTATGTATGGATCACTTGGGTTGTTACCGACATCTGGTGAAAATTTGATGTCATTAGCACCTCTAGTAATATATTTACTGAGAAAAATGTTGACGTGTTCAATACTTATTTTACCTGCTGTAAGAGGAACCAAACCCAGGGGGTGTGACAGGTTTCCTGTAAATTCTGTGAGGCCTTGTGATCGGCTGACATTTTGTAAAACTCTAAAGCCGCAGACAGGCTCAGGGTGAAATGCAGCCAGTTTTCGGGGTTTGGTTGGCCACATAGGCGCCTAAGCGTTGGAACAGCCTACGGCGYGGGGCAGTGGTGTAAGCGGCCAAATGTGCCCCACGTCGGCTACAACCCATGAGTTGAGACAAAACATGAGTCTTTAGATCGGAAAATAAACGTTCAACCCAAACGTTAATCACTTTTCAGTGTATTATTCAGGCTTCAAATCTGAACAATTTTTCATCCTGTGTTCTTAAGTTACTGGWTGAATTTTAATGGCCGTAATGAAAGTACCTCTGATTAATTTTATCAGGGAGATAATAATTATTGAGTCACCAGAGCTGACTGACAAAATAAATGTCTACAACTCAGTCTGTTTTACAGAGTTGTAGTTAAAATATGTGACCCATCATATCAAAATGGTTTAAGTCAAGTTTGGTCAAAATGACCTTTAATCACATTTTCAGAATCCTGGCTTTAAAAGCTACATTTTGATACTTGGATCAATCTGATATCATAAGTGGATCCAGAGATAAGACTTAATTTGTTTTTTGTTGGTTATGTCAATATTATGTTGAAATGGTCTGAATCCCAATTTTATTTAATTTTACTGAGTTTTTTTTTTTGATGTTACAAAGAGGAAACCTCAAATAGTATTTAAAAATAAAATTTTCCTCAATCTTTTTTTGCTACTGCTCAAAAAAATGCTTCATCATTATATTTCAGACACTTCATTCAAATGATACATTGATTTTTGTAATAATTTGATCAAATGCATCTGCCTGTTTCTTCACATCCCACTGTTAGACCTAATCCTCATTTCGATGTGACGGGTCTCTTATATCTCAACCTTGTTTAAAGAATTATAGCCCTTTATTTGTAAAAAGAAAAAAAATGAACATATAGAGCTCAACCAACAACACAGGTAAAAAAAAAAAGCTGCTTTTGTGGATGTCAGGATGTGTTTGTGTAAAAACTGTCTGTTTGCTCTTGTTGAATTTGGCAGAAGTCTCCACTGCGGGCCACATTATAATTACAAAAACTGTTTTCTACGTGTGTTAACGTAATGACAGGGTGTCGTCGCTGCAGACTCTGCAGGCCACCTGCTGTAATGACTTCACTGTGACCAGGATCAAAGGGAGGCAGGTGATAAGTGTTTTCTTTTTTTATTSTTTAATTTGTCAGCCAAACAACTCGTCTGAGTGACTTTTCTTTTGTGACAATAAATGAACAGTTTCTGTCTGCGAAGCAGCTCCAGAATAAGGCTGCTTCCTACCTGTTTGAGAAATCGGAGAGGGTCGGATGAATTTGATCTCCTCTCTCTACTTTCTGTTCCAGCTTCTCCCGGAGCCTCAAACTCCTCCAGCTTGTTTCTAAACTCAGCAGTCGTTGTGGGATTTTAAGTGATGCTTTAAAAGCAGTGAAGGTTTCTCCACGGCGGTGAGCAGGTGCTGCAGTTCTCAGCTGAACGTCTTTCAGCTACTCTCAGCTTCCAGGCTCTGTGTTTGTTCTTTCTCAGGAGATAGTTTTAGAGACGAGTACAAAGTGTCATTTAGTGTCATTCTGACAGAAATATTAACTGTAAACAAAAATATTTTCACTGTAAAGCTGCAACAGATGTTTTCATGTCTGGAAGGGGGTAACAGTTTGGGCTTTTGACTTGCTTTTCAGGAAAAACTTTCAGGTTTCTGGTTTAGCTGCTGAAGGCACAAAGGTGATGATGTTTCTGTCTGTTTGTGGAAAGAAAGGAAGGAAAGAAAAGGAAGGAAAGGAAAAGAAAAAGGGAAGGAAAGGAAAGGAAGGGAAAGGAAGGGAAGGAAAGGAAAGGAAAGGAAGGGAAGAAAAGGGAAGGAAAGGAAGGGAAGGAAAGGAAAGGAAAAGAAAGGGAAAGGAAAGGGAAGGAAAGGAAGGGAAGGGAAGGAAAGGAAAAGAAAGGAAAGGGAAGGGAAGGAAAGAAAAGGAAAGGGAAGGAAAGGAAGGGAAGGAAAGGAAAGGGGAAAGGAAAGGGGAAAGGGAAGGAAAGGAAGGAAAGGAAAGAA